GAACCAGCCGCAAGTTCTCCGTGCCCTGTGCCCACTTCAAGAGCCAGGCGCAGTCTGTTCTGCCTGGGCCTGCTCCTCCCCAGAGCTGGCCGCAGCCTGTGCCTACCCCAGAGCTAGCTGCAGCCTGTTCCGCTTGGCCGCTGGCTGCACCCCAGCCTCAGCTGCCCCTGATGGCCGGTCCCTGCAGGGGTGCAGCGGGACTGGTCAGACCACGCGCTGTGGTGGGAGCAGAAGCACCAGTGGCTGCTGCGCACAGGCTGGGCCCTGGACAAGTATGGCTTGGGTGCGGACGCCCGGCTCCGCTACACGCCCCAGCACAAGCCGCTGCGACTGCGCCTGCCCAACCGGCGCCGCGTGCGGGTCCAGGCCTCCTTCAGCGACACCATCTTCCGCACCGTGGCCGACATCTGCCGCCTCTTGGGTGAGACGGGCTGCGGGTCAGGGGTGAAGGGCGTTGATTGTGGGGGGTGCCGCTATATAGGGGACTGAGGCTTGGGAGTGAGGGGCACTGATGGCAGGGGGCTGCAGGTCAGGAACGAGAGGCACCAATGGGTGGGGGCTGCGGGCTGGGAATGACGGGCACTGATGGGTGGGGGCTTCAGGTTGGGAGTGAGGGGCACCAGTAGGGCTGGGGGAGCAGGGGACTGCAGGTCAGGAGTGAGGAACACCAATGGGGGGGGCTGCCTTGGGTGACCCCCCTTTGCCCCCAGCAATCCGTCACCCCGAGGAGCTGTCTCTGCTGCGCCCACCCGAGGGGAAGGAGAAGAAGAAGCGCAAGGAGGCAGCGCTGGGGGCCGAGGATGACTTCGACCTCACTGGGATTGTGCTGCCCAATAGTAAGTGCTGGGGGTGGGGGCCAGAGGCGTGAGCGTGAGCACCCTCATGCAAGAGGCAGGGGCAGTCATGTGAGCACCCTGTGTGCACTTGTGCAAGAGGTGCCCAGGTTCTAGTGACCACCTCATGAGAACCTGCGTGAGAGTACTAGCGTGAGAGTTTGCACAGATAGTGGCGAATGCCTGCACACACCTGTGAGAGCCTGTGCGAATGAGCAAACGTGTAGTCATACAAGAGACTGCACAGATACTAGTGAATTCCTTGCATGAGAACCTGTGCAAATGAGCAAATGGTGCATTTGTGCAAGAAGTTCCATGAATATCTATGAATTCCTTGTGTGAGAGGCTGCACAAATAAGCGCACAAATACCTGGTTCACCAATTTGCACAGGCTCTCACACAGGGAATGCACTAGGGTCCATGCAACTTATCACACAAATACCCATTTATTGGCACATGCTGTCACACAAGTGCATGGGTGCTTGAAAGTCATGTGCAAACTCTCGCAGCAATACACGTTCTTCACACAGGTTTTTGCACGAGGTGTTCACTAGAACCTGGACAACCTCTTGCATGAATGCACGTTTGTTTGTTCATTCACATGGGCTCTCTCTTAAAGTGTTCGCTTTCACCCATGCAACCTTTCATGGATACACATTTGCTTGTTTTCACAGACTCTCACACAAGGAATTCACTAGTATCTGCAACCTCTTGCATGGATACAAACTTGTTGCTCATTCACATGTATGGGCATTCACAAGTCTGTGCAGGCTCTTATGCTAATATGCATTTGTTCACACCGGCTGTTGCACAAGGTGTTCAGTAACATTCGTGGAACCTCTCACAAATGCACGTTTGTTTTCGCAGGCACTTGCACAAGCACATTGGCACTTGCAAGTATCTGTACAAGCTCTCACATCAGTACACCATCATTCACACAGATTCTCGCACAAGGTGTTCACCATCATCTGTACAACCATTTGCACACACATACATGGGTTTGCTCATTTGCATAGGCTCTCGCACAAATGCACTTGTGAGTCTCCCTGCAAGCTCTCACACCAACTTATGCTTGTTCACACAGGCTCTTGCACAAGGTGTTCACTAGTGTTTGTGCAGAGTGTCACAGATGCATGTTTATAGACTCATTCACACAGGTTCTCTAGGAATTCACAAGTACCCATGCGACTTCTTGCACAAGTACAGTTTTCTTCATATGGGCTGTCACACGACTACACAGGCACATGAGTCTCTGGGCAAACTCTCACACCAGTATACTCTCATTTGTGTAGGATTTGTACAAGGTGTTCACTAGCATCTGTGCAACTTCTTGCATGAATACCCATGTGTTCATTTGTTCACACGGGCTCTCACACAAGGGCATAGGCACCTGTGAGTCTCTATGCTAATAGTCACACCAAGACACACTCCTTCACACAGGCTCTGGCATGAGGGGTTCACTAGTATCCATGCAACTTCTTGCACAGCTACATGTCCTCGCTCACTTGCATGGGTATGCTCATGGGTCTCTGTGCAAGCTCTCACATCATTGCACAAGGTGTTCACTAGTATCTGTGCAACCTTTTGCACAAATACCCATTGGTTTGCTCAATTCCCTGGACTCTTGCACAAGTGCAGGGGTGCTCATGTATCTCTGTGCCAGCTCACGTGAGATCTCACATGCGAGGTTCACTTGCATACATGCAACCTCTTGTGCCACTGCACACACATTGGATCCTTCGTACAGGCTTTTGCACGAGTGCCCCAGCGAGTCTCCATACAAGCTCTCCCGCCAACAAACCCTCATACCAGAGCCCATGCAAAGGAGATGCTCCTGGTGCCCTTGTGCGAGGGCCTGCTGTGCTTGTGCGAGCCCCCCTGTGTCTCCCCCCAGGTGCGGAGCAGCAGCAGTTCCGGGGGATGCCGCCCCACTTCTCCGACAGCCCTGAGGCCACGGCCTGTTACCGGATGCTCTCGCTCAGCCAGGCTGGGCCCAGCCCTGAGACCGTGATGAAGTCCCCGCGCCCCGGCAGCCTGGTGGAGAAGGGCCAGATCAACAGCAGGTGGGGGCTGCGGGTCGGGAGTGAGGGGCACCGGCAGGGCTGGGGGGCAGGGGCTGGGGGGCAGGAGTGAGGGTCACCGCTCTCCCCCCCAGGTGGCTGGACTCATCACTGTCGCTGATGACCCAGGACGTGCAGAAGGATGACGAGCTCTGGCTCCGGTTCAAGTACTACACCTTCTTCGACCTGGACCCCCAGGTGCACCTTGGCCCTGCCCCCTGCCTCCCTCTAGCCCCGCCCCCTGGGTCTGGCCCTGCCCACCTCTTCCCCTGGTGGTGCCCTCTAACTCTAATGAGCCCCTGCTGACCTGCTGGTGACCCCTGGGACCCCAATGGCCCCCTCGCGGCTTGAAAGATCCCTTGGGGACCCCATCACCCCCAGTGACTTCAATGATGCCTTGGTGACTCCATGGCAAACCTCATTACGCAATGACCCCCATCCCCCAGTGATTTCCATGTCCCTCTGGTGACCCCCCTGGTAACCCCAGTGCCCCCCCAGTATGACACGGTGCGGATGACGCAGCTGTACGAGCAGGCGCGCTGGGCCCTGCTGCTGGAGGAGACCGACTGCACCGAGGAGGAGACCGTGCTGTTTGCCGCCCTCCAGGTACTGGGACCCGCCATGGAGACCCTCCAGCTCCCCCCGCCCGGCGCGGCCCC